ATTATAATCAGCATTACTGTCATTCCAATCTCCCATTATTTAAATGTAATTTTCTTCACGGATTTCAGTCTTTAAATATCACATATATGCATATAGGAGTGTACAGCCTGGGAATAACTTCGTTGAAAAGGGTACTCTTCACTGAATATCAAGCTTTCGAGTTATGAGTGAGGCCTAAAAGAAGTTGGCATATTCACTCACCCAATTTCAAGTGAACTCTCATCACCAGTCAACAATAGCTAGGGAACTACTGCCTACCGAAGATATCTTGTTAGCTGTCAAGTTCTAGCGACTCCTCAGTAGTCCTCACTAGTAATTCCAGTAAGCATCCAGCATATGTCCTAATTACTATTTATCAAATAGCTCATGTGCAAATACTCTAGTTGTTCGGAGGGTTCTCACTAGCCAGTAGTGTGACCTTCCATGCCTATTTTTCACTCACTGTAGGTATAATGTACCAAAATCTATACAATATAAACGTAACTCCATGTAAGGCACAAGTTGCTCACCATGAATGTGTCCAACTTCGACTCACATTCAATCGCCTAAAGAGTTTCAGACTGCTGGCAGTTGACTTCATGCATTAATAATGGATATCAAAAGGTGTGATGAAGGATTTAGGGGTTTTAGACGATCTCTTTCAAGTATTTGAAATGAAACACACCATTTGTAGCCCACACTCTCTGTAAGTATTCTTCGAAACCAAATAAGTAGCCATTCGGTTTCAGATTTTTATCTCATTGCATCTAAAATGATATAAAATTTCAAAAACATTCTTGTGTCAATGTGTAGTAGAAGTAGAAGTTGATAAGCTGAATTTCTGCCTGTTCAAAGGGACAAGGTGGATTTTCCATCTTACCAAATGCTTAGATCAACGGTGGTCTGGATCTCTTCTATTTAATGTGTGTCGATTCTCTTTGATGGTTAACAAAGGGAAGTAGGACTGAAAAAGCCTAACCTACCAAGTGTTATCAGTCAAATTAAGATTGTGTATATAATGTACAAGTGTTCTGCTATTTTAGATTAGCACTGAAATATATTGTTCTTGACACGGACACACACTCATTTCAATAAATCCAGCTAGTTAGGAATGGATTGATCAAAAAAAGTGCACACTTTTGCAGACACTGGATTTAGTTGAGTGACATGCCAACAGCCAGGTACGTCCATCAGTAAACAACACAGGACTTTATACATTTGTAAACTGATCTATTAACCGTCATAGCAGGACTTGAGGCGAGGGGAAGGGGATCAATCAGTGAGAGATAAGTCAAATATGACGAGATCATAAAGCCAACAATGGAAGAAAGGAGGGCAGTTTCATTCCTTTAGAGTCAAGTTCATAAGTGGTGTACCCAAACAAATTCAGCTCATAAGGTCGAATTAGGTCAGATCAGATTATATGAAATGAGATGACAAACAGGTGCACTTGATTTATCTCGACTGTTCCCGATCAGGATAATTTTCAAGCTTCAACAACATATTCCATCTGCCTTGTAGACCTCTTTCAAGAGATTTATCCTTCTGAGTACATTTCAGTACACAGAAACTAAATGGATCATCCAAACAATCTGGCTTTTACTTCTTGCTATAAAGTGTGCTTAGGTAAACGGTGACACAACTCAGACAACTCGGTTAATCCATCTGCTCAGTAAGTCTAATTGACTTGCCTATTTTAGTCAGGACTCATAAAATAACCACATAAATGTTTTCTAGGTGATGACGTCACAAGCTGGCAGTACTCTAAAGGTCTCATAATTGTTTGATCTTCTCTGATTTTTAGTGCTTGTTCTTGGAGATTTCATCACCAGACTAGGTGACTTAGTCGGCATTTACTTCGTATAGAAGTCTGTTTATCTAAGTTAAAAAGTAATTACTTTTTATCATTTAGACTACCTGAGATAGCCGTGGTTTGACAGACTATAACTGATGCTCGGTGATGACTGAAGGTGAAATGAAAATTTGGACCACGGTTGGATTTGAACCAGTGACCACCGCATTTCTCGTCTAGTGCTCTACTAACTGAATTACGAAACCTAGCTGCTGACCAGATTTTTATTTCACTTCAGTCATCAAGGGTTTTTCCCAACTACTATGTAAAATTGAAGCCTGACCAGAATTTAGGAGTCGTAGCTCAGTTGGTAGAGCATCGGGCCGGAGACCCAATGGTCGTTGGTTCGAATCCAACCGCCGTTCAAATTTTCATTTCACCTTCAATCATCACCCAGTATCAGTGTTCATTTTTCGTTACTACACAATGCGGTCTCAGATTAAAGCATAAGTATAATTTCATAGAGCATATTACTTACTATTAGGCGTTATAAGTAGTGAACTGCAATCTGATCTCATATTCAGTGTGAAAATACGATTTTGAGCTTCATTAAGAGTATGCTACGTGAAATCTTCTTCTTAAAAATACCTAATTGTTCTAAAAGGATTGAATTAGGGAAAGAAATGGGGTTTATGATCTGGTTTGAATTAGCAGCTTCTAGATTGCTTGTTGGACGACTTTTTGAATGCGCTGCAGTTTCAAACTGTTAAAGAGTTATCATTTTCATTTTATTTATTGTTTGCTTTGTCCCGTTGTCATACGAACTGGGGTTGTTTAAATACTTATTCTTTACCTTAATATCCATTTGATCAGACTGTTTCATTGGGATTCTTATGCAGTGAAGTTAGAAAAGCTAGAGAGGCTGCTTAATTGTGGATCAGAGAGAAAGGCATACTCACTGGTGGGTGTTCAGATCAAAAAGATATCCAAACTCTGATAGGATTCGAACCAGCAATCTACAAGTTACCACCTGAGTGATCTACCGAAGCGGTATAGATGCACCTTCCACAACCTAATGAAAGTTGCTTATACTGTTGATGAACTGCAGTTACAAAGTGGTTGGAGGATACATTCGGCCTACTTGGATTTCATTCTTTACTTCATGGAGATAGACTGACTGCGACTCAGCTTTAAATGATCTGGCTTAACATTACGCTGAATGGTGAAGTATTATAGAACCTTTTATCAGTCAGTGACAAACATTTGTGGTTCAGGGGATTCAAAACACGTCAGTAATTTCGTTCAACATAAGCTTACGCTGACGTGTATGTTTCTGTAGAAGTAAACACAGCTTCAAAAATGTAACCTATTGGAACTTATTAAGTGAGTAGAAAACACAGATTCGCTGAAGTAACTTTAATAAAGACCACCCTGACAACTGTTGAGGTTGTCAATTATGCTTTCTTATTTTATGAAAAACCACCTTGCCAATCGAAATGCTGAAGCCTGATAGGTTATGTCAGCAGATACTAGGATGGCCTTTAAAGTTACTCGACTCACTGTCCACTGTATCTCGAAGATGGAGATATTCAGCAAGCTTCTATGTGATGTGACTCTGATGGCATACATCTTATAGTAAAATTCCGCTTCGATGTCACAAAGGAGTGGCTCTAAAGGCCACTTTAGCAACCACTAAAGGGACCAGTTTATTTTCTTTACCTGTGATATAACTAACTGTTCAACCAACATAAAGACACCTAATGATTATCCCAGTGGTTGCTACGGTGGACTTTAGAGTCATTTGTTGCAAAGATTTGCAACAGAGATAACATAGTATTATTGCTTATATTACACGGTGTAATACAAGCAATAACACTAAAATTATACCCATCGCACAAGAAGTGTCTACCGTGGCTCGGTGGTGTATTGGATAACGCTCTCGCGTTTGAAGCGATCGCTCCCGAGTCCAAGTCCCGGTGGGGACAACATCACTCACTGGGAAGCAGGTACGTCCAGCTGACGAGTCCCAAGTAGAACGGAATGCGTATCCTGGCTTCCACTGCTAGCCACAGCCTATCATTACTAGAGACAACACAGTTTAATACCTTACCTGGGAATGATGATAACATGATGTTTATGGTTACGTAATCACGGAGGTGACTGATCACCCTATTCAGGTTAGGCCTTAGAACATTCTCTAAAGGGGTTTTAAAAAAAAGCGAATAATGCATACAACTCAACTAACTCTGGTAACTAGCACGTGGACCTGACAATCACAAAGCATATTAGGGAGCCTTCTGAATAAATATCCTGAAGTTTGTCTATGCTGAAGACAGTTTAAACCATCTGTATGGGTTCATAACTCAACTTAGAAATAATGGTAAATGTACTTGACCGGATAAGACTTAATGAATGACCTTCCCAATGTAAATCTTTAAAATGTACTATTATCCTAATCTCATTGATTTTCATTGTTATTTTAGCCTTTTTGTTTGACCTCTTCTCGTTTTCATTACCGTATACTCTTTATCAGGCTGTTCGAAATGTGAAGAAGTCACATTCTTATTTTGTTTTTTTTTACCACAGTAATAGTTGTTGAAATCATTCAAATTTTGTAACCTCCATCTTTTTTATGATTATGCAAACCACGGCTATCTTACATACTCAAAATGATAATCAATATGGTGCTCCCCCTCTCTAATGTAAGTAGGTCTGGATTGGAATGAGAAGTCCTGAATGGGCAGCCAGTGTGAATACGATCAAGCTATAGTAACGCATCAAACAATCGGGCAAGACCATTGATGACTGAAGTTAAACTAAGAGTAGGCTAATAGAGCGCTGATCCGGTAACTTAGAAGTCGCTGACCCTAGTCCTCCTCTCAGTTCAGATTCTCGTTTCATTTTCAGTCATCACCCAGTATCATAATTGAGAATGTTCCTCTGAATGAGTTAAGACTAGCTTAAAACATCACGGAGAGTTACGAAGCATTTTAAACTTTAGAGGTGAACTAACTACTCGAAGATCATTATAAAACTAAGACAAGCAAAGATCAAAAATTATTTCATATTTGCAGTCAAAGTGTTCAATGCTCAATGTTTGTATACTCACTTATGAGATATCCTACAAGTTTATGCATGATTATTCGAATCAACTGAAGGTTTTAACCAAGAAATGCAATCTACATAAATTTAAATGGTCAAACTAATTTCCAAACACTCTCTAACTTACTTGATGTAATCGCTGTCAGATGTATACATATATATTTTAAATCCAAGATGATTCGCTTAAAGCATTCTACCTGTTTGATTATACTTCCGTGTTCAATGTAGGATGAATACATAAATGTGTATGAGGGTACAATGGAAGTTTATTTATCATTAAAAAAATGAGTACTCATCACTTTGTTAAATTCCTTGTAATGTGTAGGTTATTTGATAAGTGAAGAATATTAGTCATCTTTTGGGTGTATGCCTTGCAATCAATAGTACTATTGCTATTCTTCTTCCTATGAGTGTCACAATCATTATTATTACTAACCAGTAGTATAGATAAATCCAAGAAAAAATTAGTATCGTAGGCAAATTTTCGTTTTTTATTGTTGTAATGCTCAAAATGTATACAGTTGGCATACTTCTGTATCCAATATGAGTAAATCCATCAATTAGGTGATTAGTTATGCAAAGAATATAAGATCAAACTTCCCATCTTTCATAAGGTATCATCTATCTATCTGTCTTATTATTATCTTGTCAACTAAAATACTGATAATGTATTAAGTAGGAAAAGAATCATGCTGTAATCAACTGGTTCAATGTACACCAATAATAGTAATTCAGTTAACTGAAAGAGATGAGTAGAGCATCATTTATACGTTATCCAGGAGAGAGAGAGAGAGAGAGAGGAAGGGAGGAAATAGGACAAGACTCCAAGCTGTGTTAGGGTTTGTTGATGCATTTATTCTTATCTTTTCCTTTCCTTTTATATTTTCCAAATGACATATAAAAATATTCCTGAAATATATATTAACAATAATATTATTATTGTTATTACTCTTATTATTGTCAAAGACGGAGGATGAAATGTAACGCAGGCAAATTCATATTTTGTCTCAGACCTTCCTTATACATACACATAGACGGATTGTCTTTTGTTTGTATTTGTGCATGTATGTGTCTGTGCTTTTGTATCAGAATAAATAATGATACACAAATAGAATGAGGATTTCCTTTTGATGCTTCCTATGCTCGCCTGCCTATTCGATTTTACTTTTATTGTCAACATTATCATTTGGGGAGGGGTGTTACTCCACTGTGTAGCTGTGTATTCTACTCTTGCTCTTTTTGTTTTCAAATTCCTCTCCACCTCCCTCTTTTCCATTGTTTTGATAGTATCTCCTTCGTTTTCTTTTTCTTCCTCTGCTTCTTCTTCTTCTTTGATATCACCAACCCCCGTCTTTTATCCACCTTCTTGATGAATGTGTTTTTAATTCTTATTTGTTATGTTAATCCGTAGATATATAAGTAGGTATATATACATATGTACGTAAGAGTGTTCTTCATCTTTGTGTGTGCTTGTCTGTGTTTTGTGTGTACGTGCATAACTATGGGAAAAGTAGCTAAACTGAAGGATAGCCTCCAATTTCTATTGTTATCGTTTGCTTTCATTTGTCGTTCTTTTTTTGCTCCCTGCATTTCCATTGTTCACTTCTGTATGTTTTGTTTACAATGACCTTGAAGATTCAATCATTATCATCACCCACGTATCATTGCTATTATTCATATTATTATGTTTATTATCATTATTATCATTATGTTTGTGGTGGTGATTGAATTCTGTACACTTGTATACAGACTTTTATATTGTCATTTAACTAAGAATAAACGAATGAACGAATTCTTTATTCATTTATCTTATCCTACTGTCTGTCAATCTCGAAAGGTAGGCAGATATGCATATATGTGTGTGTGTGCGTGTGCTTTAGCGAGGTTATTATCATTGTTATTCGTGAGCTTTCTCTATCCTCCTTCTTCTATGTTCTTCTGACTATGTATACGTGTACATTTATTCTAGAAGATAAAATAACAATAGCACTCTTTGTTCTCTCTTTCATTCAATGTTCAAGCCAACCTTTTGTTTCTATTTTCCTTTTCAAGCTAGTGATTGTTTAGTGTTATTGCTTGTATTACACCGTCGTGATTGTTTGTCCAAATTCGTCTATCCACAATGACTTGCTCACTCGAACTTCTTTGTCTACATTTTGAATTCTTTTATCCATGATTTGTTCATTCTGTTCGCTTAGCTATGATAATAATAATAACAATAAAGAAGATATAAGACAATACTATTTCATCGTTTCCTGTTCATTTGTTTGTGTAGGGCTTCGTTCACTGTTTCAATACTTTTCTTCCTTTTACATAGAAAATAAATTCGATTCTTACTTCTTCCTTCCTTTTTTTGTTTCTATTTTACTTTGAGAATATGCTTACAATCTAGTTGTTCATGTTATTTTCTGCCGTTTGTTTGTTTAATTCATTCATGCGCCTATTTGACTGTTTGAGTGAAAGAGTGCGTCCGCACTCCATACCATATGTACACAGATACTTTCTGTAAGTATGATTTGAAAAATAAACGGTAATACTAACTACAAATACTGTGCATATCTAAGTGCTCCTGTTTGTACACCCAAACACAAATCTGTTATATAGTTAGAAATTAGTGGAAGGATCACTAAACCCTTCTCAAAGTCTCTGGTCAAAGGGATAATTCATAGAGACTTCCGAGAAAGTCTGACTAGACACATATTCTGCCTAATACAAAGTATTTTGAACCAAATCAGAACGAGAGGATTGTCACTTTGATTCCATTTACATATTCCTAGAAAGCTGTACAGTAGGACTGATGCAGAATTTCATTTCAAGAATTTTTACTGTTGAGTCACTAACCTTCGGCTGGAACAGAATAATTGGTAATCAGCATCATATATGATTGACAGGAAGCCTTGTTTAACGCAGATTTTATGCTTACCTGTACTCGTCAGCACAGCATATCTGCAATCTAAAGGGCGCTACTATCCCCTTAGTGACTCTAACCAACGTTACCAACTGCTGCTGTTCGAAACCTAACCACTGAGGGCTACGTGAAACAAAAAAGTGGCAAATCTAAGTCAATCTGGCCTTCCTGCTTATTGTTCTTCAATACATAACATGCATTTCACTGCTGTTTAATCTTTTTTGTCTCTGCATAGGACAAAAGGAAAATGGCATCGCCGTTCTACGGATGTATGGCCTAAATAAAGTGTATAAACCTGAGGTGCCTCTTCGCCCTATCCTAGACATGACCAGTTCGCCTTACCATGCTATCGCTAAATGGCTAGTTCGATTACTACAGCCTTTGCGTTGACCATTTAGCATAATATAGAGTCAAAGAAATCTAATTTGTAGACAAAATAAAAACTTAAATGTTCCGAACAAATGCATGGGATCGCTAGATGTCACATCTTTGTTTACTGATGCCCCTCTTATGAAAACCATGGATTATATTTGTGAACAACTGTTGGAAAGGAAATTAGATACTGGGATTTCAAGGAACCATTGATAAAATGTACGATGAATGTCCAGTTCATCTTCATCAGTTCTGTAAACGGACAAATTGAGATGAATGGGGATTTTTAATCTAGAAGTAGTATTCATCATGGACTGACTGACATCAGTTGGGGAACCATTGGAAATCTGGGAGCACTGGACAGCTGTTTCGTCCAACTAGTATGGGACTCCTCAGCAGTATGCACCCACGACCCAACTAGGGGTGGAACTCAGCACCTTCAGGTTTCACGGCGAACGCGCTAACCATTCAGCCACTGGGTTGGTTTCCAGTGGTTCACAATTTCCAACTTCTGTCAACTCACGACATAGCGCGACTGTCACCCAAGGTCTTCCCTTTCAGTTAGCATCCACTTCACTTCCAACTGGTTGACCCCACAGGTCACAGCTTCTGATCAGAACTTGCTGACATCCATCTGGAAGCAAGTCACCAATGAGCACTACAGAGTAATGTATTTTTGAGATGAACGGGGATTTTTAATCTAGAAGTAGTAGACAAATTGACGCAATGATTATGGAATCTCCATTGGGCCCTATATTTAGAGATATATTTTTAGTAAAATTGAAAGATGGTCCTTTGAAAGATCAAATAACCAATATGGAGTTGTACTGTCGATACATGGATGATACATTTTTAATCTTTGATGGATGTCTATGCATTAATTTGATTGTAAACCATTTAAAAACTCTCACCCATCAAATTATTCTTCATAGGAAAATGAAATCAGTGGTTCGATACATTTTATTAATGTACTAATGATAAGAAAAGAAGTATATATATCTATAGAAAACCAACGTCTAAGGCACAGTATACGTTCTTTCTTAGCTTTATACCGATGAAGTTCAAATGTAATATAATCAGGTGCCTGGCATTTAGAGTAAGATCCATTTATTCCAAGGAGTGTAAGGAAAAAGAACTACTGTGTATCTATGATATTCTAAGTGAAAACGGGTATCCGAATAAGTTCATCAAAATTAACATCAATTACATTGGTCCTAAACAAGAATTGATGACAGTGGGGAAGAAGACTTTGTTTCTGCGCTTGCAAATCAAGGGAGATATTGCAAGTGACATTCTATCACAACGCCTAGCTAGGACGTTTTATACAGGTTGGTTTTGCATATCATTCACCAGTAGGCCAATGTTTGGTAGGAAACTGAAGGATGAAATACCTAATCTTAGCTCTTCATCTAACATATAGCCATTCAACTGTTCCTGTGGGACTAGTTACGTACGGTGCGCGACTAGGTAGGTGCACCTCTGGATACGATAGCATTTACCAGTTTGATTTGGAAAGGGCGAAGTGAAGGTGGTGAAAAGTTCAGTCCTAGCGCACCTAGTAGACACAGGGTATCACATTCATACGAATAAAGCTTTCAATGTCATTCATCGTATTTCGAAAACGATACCACTTGTAGCTCACCAACGCCTGCTCAACATAGCGGAGGCTGTCACAATAAGATTGATCACACCTGAACTCTATATTCAGAAAGAACATGTCCATGCGTTACTTCTCCCTTGGTCTTCAGAGCAGTAAAGGTCACTTCTGTCACCTTATTCGTTATCTTTTGTTAACCATCATATCATTCTTTTGTATATATATCATCTCAATACTTCTTTACAATGCTTAAATCTCACTCCATTTTAAAAATATACCTGACCCTAACATGGCTTGTTTTTGCGCTGTACAAATTGCATTTTATGACTGTAGAATCTGAAGAGAATTTATTGAAAAGAATATCCTTCATTCAGATTGCTGCTTTTTATCAATCATGCATTTATTATATACCAATGTACAGTGGGCAGAATTTTCTATTCTACAGATTATAAGAGGGGCTTGATCAGAATACCCTGTTGAATGCAAAGTAACTCTACCTTCAAATTAGACGGATTCCAGGTTTTAGAAGCAACAGTAAATATTCTTTGAGGTTTATCCAGAAACACCATAGATGTAGAAGCAATGAAAATCAGAAACAAACAGTACTACGAAAAGATGCTTATTTTCCTGAGACTAGTCTTCATAAGAGATAGTTTCACTGAAAGAGTTGATAAAATGGTCAGAAATACACTCTCTTAAGCATATCCAATCTTCATGTTGCCATCAGCCTATTGAATGACACTATACGCTAAGTAGTTCAAAGTAGACAACCTTTTAATATTGTTACTTCATGATATCACTTCAACTATCTGAGATAACTGTGGTTCGGTAGGCTTGTACTAGTACTAGGTGACGATTGAAGGTGGAATGAAAATCCTTTATTTGGATTTCGGCTACATAAACCAAGAATCGGTGATTTGTCAAGACCTATATAGGTAACTTAACCAATCCTGTTTAAGTCTTATTCTTCGTTCCTACTTACCTTTGCGAACAAGATGTTCATCTGTCTTAACC